TAGGGTGACTTAACTTAGGGAGGACGGGTGGCCTGGTATTGTGCAGGAAAGGGGAAGATGAATAGAGAAGAAAGGATGATGGAATACCCCTTCAAAGGTTGGGAACCACGACGACTCAGAGGAGGAATATAAATGCCTATACCAACGGGAAACGGATGGAGAGGGACCACGTGCGACTGGATTGGGTTTGAGGTTGCCCGGGACTTGTCACATGTATGGATAGAGCGGATTTGGAACCCGATAAGGGAAGAGGAAGGTTGGGATGATATAGCAGAAGGCAAGGTAGAGTCAGTCGAAACGATTGTCCTTTCCGAGGATGGGTGACACCTGTTTTGCACTATGTTAGCAATGAGACAGGACCGGATGTGAATTCTAGGGGATGCAGAGGCCCGAACCCGAAAGGAAGGCAAGTTGTTCGCCAACGAGGGATGGGACGAAGTTAGTAGCAGAGTTGTGATAGAAGGATGGAAGGAGCTTAAGACTCCAAGTCTACGGATAACGGTTTGGATACCGGAGTTTATAGGCGAGTGGTTTGGGGGGTTAGAGTACATTTTAGAAGTAGCCGACTCCATGAGAAAGGTGCATATATAGTGTGTCTGGCTGAGTGAGGAGTTCTATAGGCTCTCATTGAAATATGGGCCCTTCTACGGAGATAAAGCCGAGGAAGTCATCATCGTCCTAAGAATAGGCAAATATGACCGCCTGGAGGTAGAGGCAGAGTCTTGGGACGCCATAGCTAGCCGGGAGGCGGTGGTCGCACCCTCCTACGTAGACGATGTCTTTAAATTATTTAAGGTGCTGTGGTTCGACTAAACAAGGACGAGGGATCGATCACCACGAAAAGGCCTGAGTGTGGAGGGTGCTTGTGAATCGAGGTGTAACATATGAAAGGGGGTGTGTACATTAGGCTGTAGATGGTGCATAACGATCGAAACAAGGAGGAAGTGGCAGCAACCGGAAAAAGGGGGCAGGGGTAGAATTGTATGTGTATGAGTAATGAATAGCGGCACGAATCAGTGTACGATAAGTATGGAGGGTTGAAAGACTAAAATGCGAAAGGCATGGAATCTCGGTGGGTACAGCAATCGGACTAAGAAAGCAGAAAATGAGACATTGCGAGATGGTCCGGCGAATGACGTTCTGGGAGGATAGACCTCGTGGGATCCTGCCACCAAGAATATCAGAAGGCAGGGTCGAAATAAGCCTGCCGGCAAGAAATACCATAGGCAATCTGGTAATGGACTGGGTGGGGGTAGAGTTGGTGGAAGATACGGTGTACCTAGTAGTAAAGCTGGAATGGCGTGCGAGAGGGGAGTTCAGGGGCGTAGACATGAACCGCCCAGGGCGTGTACATGCGACGAGATCCTTACACCTGTCGGAAGAGGGATGGCGGACCTTTGGGATCGCTTTGGCTTCCGGGGATGACCCCGTGCGAATGTTCGAAGGGGCATGGCAAATAACCTGGCGTGAGGGGTTTGAGTTTGCAGACCCGGAACGAGATGACGTAACGGCGAAGGTAAAAGTCGCCGCGGCGGGCGTTTTCGAGCTGCCAAATGAGGTCATACGAATGAGTCTACCGACCTTCCTACTAAGACAAATGGGAGGCATAGAACGAGTGGAGCAGGCGGTGACTGCCGTAACTAGGCTAAATTTTGACGAAGCACTAATGTATCGAGAATACTATCGGGCCTTCCTAGAGATGGGGCCTTTCGGGGACGAACATGGGCGCGAGGTGCTTTGCATTCTACAAACAGCGGTAAATGCGAGGCCAGGAGTCCCGGAAATAAGTGATGAGACCATGTGGAGAGTCATCCGGCGAGAGGTAGGTCAGGGCGCGACCTACATAGATGACCTCTACCGGCTGTACGAACAGCCAGAGGAGGCTACTGCTCCCAGGGGTATAGAGGGATAGTTGAGGCTAGAAAAGAGAAATGAAAACACGAAGGGCAAGGGAGGCAGCATGTGGGCGGATTCTGAAGATTGGCTGTAACCCTTTCTATGTGGACTATGCAGGGAATCACCAAGGTAACAATGGCAGCAAGACGTGAGCGAATGGAACGCCAGCCCCGTGTGAGAATGGAACGCCAGCCCCGGTACCCCGGACCGCCCTGGAACAACAATGGACGATGGAAAGTATCCCTCCCGTCGAGTTCTACCTATCGGGGGTTCGACACAGAATGGCGGGCCGTGACTTTGGAAAGGGATGCCGCCTTTATGTTGGTAGAATATCGGTGGATAGGGATGAGACTCCACCGAGGACCCGAAGACGATCTGTTTTCTAATCTGGAAGTTACCGGGACCATGTATTTGCCTGAGATCGGTTGACACTCGTTGGGAGTAGAGATAGCACAAGGTCACGAGTTAGCGCAGGTCTTTCGAAGGGTCGCCCGGACGTTGACCCGGATAGGACAATCGGTCAGGGGAAGAAGGAAGGTGGGCTTACTAACCCGGGTGGAAATGGGAGGTTGGAGGGAGTTCAGGGTACCGACCACACCGCTGAGATGCCGAGTGCCCCGTTTTATGGTATACCTCGTCTTCGGAAGCCTCGCAAGGGCGCGGGAGCTGGCAGACTCAGTGATAGTCTGGGCAGGTCACTTTCCCTCCCCTACCATTGGGACAATGTCACTGTGGAGCATGGGCCGTTCTGGGGAAACAGGGCCCACGAATTACTATAAGTCATCCACATCCTGATGTTTTGTGCGCCTCGGCTAGACTGGACGGGGTGCGAACGCATAATCCAAAGGGAAATCGAGATAGGGGAGAATTATCTAACGGGGGTGGCTTAACTATTCGAGGAGCCTACCGAACCAGAAGAGTCGCGAGGGCGAGAGCGGGATTAGCATCCGCAAAACCGCAGGCGGGTCGATAGGGCAGATCGAGTATAGTTCGCTGAGTACGGAAGTTCGCCGATGGGAATAAGAAAGGGGCCTCGGACCTGGATGGCAAAAAAAATACTATAAAAACAAAGAAAGGGGGGGCAGACTCCTAATGATTGACCATAACCCTAAAGGTCAAAAACGGAAAATGCTGCTCGGGAAGACTTCCCCTAGCAGGATGCCTAACCCGGACTCCCTCGCGTCGGCGAATGGGACAAGGGCACTACAAACGAACTTGTGATAAAGGAAACCCAGTCACGTTCATAGCTCGGATGGGCGGCAGGGCCAATCGTGGCTCCTCCTTAAGGAAGGCAATCAGGGAACGGGGATAGGAAAGGAGTCTATAAAGATAAGCCAACAGAGCGAGGAGCCTAGGGAACCTAAATACCTCGCATTGCGTGTGTCCTGGGAATTTTTTGGCTTACGCAGAACTAGGCAAAATGGCAACGGAGGAGGAGACAAATAACCGTAAGAGTAAAGGAGAATCAGGCTTAGGAGGCAGTGCCGCACAAAGCGAAGGGGGGCAGAAGGACAGAGAATCGATAAATCCCGATGGTACCAAAGGGAACCGGAAGGAAATCTCTACAGGAGAAACTCGGAAGGAGCCATGCCTAAGAAAGTAAGGATCACGGACACGAGGTGCAAACTAGCCGAGATAGACAAGAGGACCGCGGAATACAAGGTAAGATTGATTGAGGAAATGATGACTGGGAACGAAGAAGGTCCTGTGCAGGAGGAACCCCAGGACGAACGGAAAGCCAGCCAAGGTGGGACTGGACAAGGGGATAAAGGTAGTGACCGTGAGGGAACGCCGAGCAAGAGAAGAAAAGAGAGAGAGAACTCTTCGGGGATGGAAGCAGAAAAGGCTACGACTCCGCCAGCCATAGATAGTAGGGCTAGCCGCCTGCCGATCACGCCAGCAGTAGCACGAGGATGCGAAGGACCTTGGAACCTTAGGGAAAGAGTGTTGGGATGGTTTAACCAGGAAGGAACTATGAAAACCAGGGAGGGACAGAAGGTCGGCAAGGAAAGTCCGGATAACAGTATGGCAAGCGAGGCCAGCAGCTCCGAGGGCGGTCTTAAAAAGATAGTGTCGTCCCTCGCGCGAGTACTAAACAAAAATCAAGGCTATCTGGCGGACGCCAAGAAAAAGTTGACTTTCGATGGAGCAAACATCACGGAGTTCCTGATCGACTATGAGAACCTAGCTGCGTTACTAAAGTGGATCGAGGAGGAAAAGATGGACCACCTAGAACAACATGTGTCGTTAAGCCTAGGACGGGACATAATGGCCATTGTAGCCGCAAGCCGGTCTTGGAAGGAGCTCCGGGATGTGATGATGAGGAAGTACCTAGCGGCAGAGAAAATGGCAACGGAGGCCGACCTAGCGGCAGTTCAGAGGAAGAACTTCGCAATGTACAATGATTTCCTACGTGAATTTACTCTAGTAGCACTAAGGATCCCCGAGGTCACGGACCGGATAATGAGCAAATATTTTCTCAGGCAGTTCTCCGAGTTCGACAAAGACAAGATCCTGTCAGCTTACCAACAGACGAGCAAGTTCGTAAACACGCGGAATATTGATTTTAGCACAGTAACGGATCTGGCTGAAAAAACGGTAGTAAGAGAAATGTTGGCCTTGCTCAAGGAAGGAGAGATCATAGATCTGACCGGTAGGACGGGCGACAAGGTAAAGAAGGGGATTGAAAGTCTACATGAACGGGGGCACGGGGTCGACAATAAGATTGAAAGGATGGAAGGCGCGCTACTGGTTATGCAGGCGCAAGTATCTCGATCTGCCCTCCCTCCCCAGGAAGCTATGGTTCCGCCAAGTATAGCCAATTGGGGATTCGGACGGAGAGATCCTGCTAACGAGCAATGCAAGTATTGTACCACGATAGGACATTATGTGCGCGCGTGCCCAAAGCTCAACCATGATATTCTGAAAAGAAGGTGTACCAGGTCATTAAAGGGGGATATATTTGGACCACAAGGGGAACGGGTGAACTGGAACTCACCAGGAGGGATGCGGCGAGCCATTATCATGCTCAACGGGTTAGAAATAACAGTCGTAGAAGCCGAACCGGTGGGTGAGATCATCTAGGATCAACTCCGGGGGCGCTGACCGCAGACCAACTTTATTTTGGAAAGCGACGGACGTGATAGGGTGAACGCAACCACTCGACTGGGAACGACCGGGAGAAGGATTAACCGTGACACCATTATGGAGGAGATCGCCGGAAGCTCCGAACCCCAGGCAGAGCCTGAGGCCGAGGAACCAGAGAAAGTCTATGGGAAGCCTAGGGAAGAGGAGCCTGCGGACAAGGTTACCGCCGCTAAGAAGAAGTTTAGGTATAAAATCCCGATCTTAACCTTGCCTGAGTTCGACGACACCATTAGCAAGTTACTAGGAACCATGGTGTCGGTGTCTTTTCAGACCATGCTGCAGGCTAGCCCTAGGTTGCTCAAAGGGTTTAGACAACTGTTGACTCGGAGGCGAGTAGAAATAGGCGACAACCCCGAATTACCGGAGGGGGAAAGGGAGGAGGAAGCTCCGCAAGAAGTGGCTAACCTTCAGAGGAGTCGCGGGGACTTGGAGGATCTCGAAAAAGCTTTTGCAGATATCCGCTTGAGATTGCCCGGCCGAGAGGGCGGCGAAGTCATGAGGTCACCACCCGGGACAAAGCTTAGCTTTCATGCACTGCCCGTAGGAAAGCTGAAAGTCCAGATCAGGAGTCATCATACCGACGCATTAGTAGACGGGGGAGCGAAAATCACTCTCATAAGAAGAGACTTCACGACGATCACGGGATGTACGGTAAACAAGAAAGTAACAGGGAGCATCCGGGGAGTTGGCGGGGAAATCTCGTTCGCTGGGTACGTCACGAAGTGCGTGGTAAAGACAGGAATCAGGGAATCAATTTGGTCGTTTTAACGGATGACCGTAATAGAGGAAATGGACAACAACATAATCATCGGGAGACCGTGGTGCGCGAACGTAGAGATGATAGGCATGCACTTACACGATGGCTCATACATGATAGACATAGAGGACCCCGTGACCGGCCAGGGAGAGCTCCTTCGACTCCTTGGAACGGGAGGAGACCCCCCGAAGGGAAAATTGGCAACATGGTCGCCGTCGTTCGAGGATAGCAGGCGAAAAGGGGCTTTCGCACGGATGGAAGGTATGAGAGAAAGGGTAGAAATCATGATTGAGGAAGCATTCAACAAAAAGGAATGGATCAAGATGGGCCTGCCCCAGAAGAAGAGGAGGTAGGAGGACGAAGTCCTAGGTGTTATGGTAGCAGAAAAGGAGTTAGAAGTCGAACTTGGTGCTAGCCTGCCCAAGCAAAAAGAAGTACGCATAGACGTGCCAGAAGTCGCACTTGAGATCCCCGATCTGTTACAACTCATAAAGGCCCTCAAATACCACAAGGTAGGGGTGGACTCAGCAGCCTTGGCCAAGTTCGAAGGAGAGCTGCAAAGGGGGTATTGCCTGAATGGGAAACTAGTTAGTATTCAACCACGAGTCGTAGAGGCGACGAGAACGATTCTGACCGTTCATTTTTTAGGAGAAAGATCCCAGAAGGAAGTGTTCGAAAGTACAAGCCGGTAGGGAAGAAAGCAAAACCGGTCTCGATCCTGCTAGAAACATCTAAGGAAGAGGCTATGGAGAAGGAGGAAGAGGTCCTTCGAGCGATCCAAGAAAGAAGGGCAACAGAGGGACATCGGATACCAGATGAGGTAGCTGACACAATGGAGATAGGGATAGACGGGTTCTTAACGGACGAAGAAACCCGCCTGATCAAAAGGACCTGCCAGGAGTTTCACCTGACATTTGCCTTTAGTGATCACCAGAAGGGACGACTGGATGCAAAGCTGATCCCTCCGGTCATAATCCACACGGTAGAACATGAGTGCTGGAATGACAAGGGGCCGTCCTATGAATTTGGGATAGCAGGAGAAGTAACAGACCTCCTTCAAGCAAAGATGGACTCCTTCGTTGCGGAGCCTACAGCGTCGCCATACGTAAACCGGTGGTTCGCTTTCGGAAGCCTAACAAGACACTAAGGTGGATTCAGCACCTGCAGAAGTTGAATGCGGTAACCATCTGGGATGCTGGCTCGCTACCTCAGGCTGACTTATTAGCAGAATTGCACGCCAGTCGGAGCATTTACTCCCTAATAAATTTGTACTCAGGGTACGACCAGCTTCCATTGGATGTTCGGGACAGGCCATACACCGCTATGCACACCCCCGTAGGCCAGCTACAGATGCAAGTGACCCCTATGGGATTCACCAACGTGGTGGCCGAAGCGCAACGCAGGATGCTTGTCGTGGCTGGGGACATGTTCCCAGAAAAATGTGAGCCCTACATCGATGACAATCCGATCAAAGGCACGCAGGCGAAGGACGAGACGGAAGTCCAGCCGGGGAGCCGACGTTTTGTGTGGGACCACCTGCAGGACATCAAGGGCTTACTCCACCGGTTCCTAGTATACAACATTACGGCTAGTGGACCGAAGAGTATCCTAGCAGTACCGGAGGTAACTATATTAGGATTTCGTTGCGGTGTTTACGGCAAGAAGCCGGATCCGGCAAAAACCGACAAGATATCACAGTGGCCGACACCACTGCGCACGACGATGGAGGTAAGGGCATTCCTAGGCGTAGTCGACTTTTGGAGGATCTTCATTAAGAACTTTGCCAACATTGTTGAGCCTATCCGGGCTATGATCAGGGAAGAAGGAACTATGGATTGGACGGAGGAGCGAGAAGGGGCTGTCCAAAGGCTCAAGGACATATTGACATCTGAGACAGTCGCCATGTCCGCACCTTGTTTTAATGACGAAGTGGGACGACCCTTCATCTTAGAGACGGATGAGGGACCTTTGGCCGTAAGAGGTGTGTTGATTCAAAGGGATGAGGGAGGAAAAAAGAGGCTGATTAGGTTCGAAAGTAGAACCCTGAACTCCGCAGAACGGCGGTACTCGCAATTCCAGAAGGAAGTCCTAGCCATCCTGCATTGCGCTAAGACCTTCCAGGCCTACCTATTTGGGAGGCGGTTCATCTTAAGGATCGATCCGACGAATGTCGCAGGGGCTCTAAAGAATTACAGGCCTATAGATCCGACGGTAGGGAGCTGGGTAGGATTCATCTGGCAGTTCGATTACAAAATCGAACGGATTGCTGGAATCCGCAACAAGGCAGATGGGCTGAGTCGGGTTTGCATCACTCCCGAAGGGTTCGACGATGCAGAGCCCATAGACGCATTCCTCGAATACGAAGGAGGGACTCTCGCGGTGGGCACATCGGGAGAACTATTGATCCAGACTTTGGAGAAGAGGGCACCTGCCGTAGTAGCAGAACTTACAGAAGGACCAGTTACCACTCGAGGACGAAGAGAAGAAAATGACTCATGGGGACCGAAAGAGGAACTAATGGCAATGGCGGTCGAGGGAGGCCGAGAGGCAGTGATGAGCTTAGTGGAATCTTGGGAAAGGAAAGAGTTGCAATGGGTGGTAAACCAGATGCAGGAAGGAAAGGATGGGGGTCAGGAAGGGGAGGAGTTTCTCTATGTCCAATCATACGAAGGGCTCTTTCGGAAAATCGGATTGTTGTTGGTAGGAAACAAACAACCTACGAAAGTCAGTATTAAATCAAGAGAAGAAGTCGAAAGGTACGTCCTAAGGGGCGGGCATTTGTTCCGAAGGGAGGAAGGTGTTATGTCCAGAAGGGTTGTGTGCGGAAGGTCTAGGCAAGTAGATGTTATCCAGGCAATGCACGATGAGTTGGCTGGAGGTCATCGGTCATCCAAAGGAACACTTGCAAAGATGACGCCACTCTGATATTGGTCAGGCATGGCAGGCATGGTCGCTATATACTGCCAGACTTGCCTTATTTGCCAAGAACGAAGCTCGGTGCGGGTCTTCGAGCCGCTTAGACCAACGCGGGTGCTAGGGCCGGGACATCAGGTCCATCGCGACCTTGCGGTCATGCCCGCATCAACGGATGGGTACAGGTATATCCTGGATGCGTGAGACAACCTGAGTAGGTTCGTAGAGGCAGTCGCCCTCAAGAAAAAGACAGGTAGGAGTGTGGCAGACTGGATAGAAGACTTCTACTTAAGACATCCGTTCATCAGAAGGTTTATAGCAGACAATGGGACGGAGTTTGTGAACCAAGAAGTATTGGGGATGCTTAAGAGACTCTGCGTACCGATCAAACTCATCGAGTCGTATCACCCTGAGGCCAATGCACCTGTGGAAAGGGGGCACCGAACCTTGAAGAACACAATGGCAAAGCTCGCAGCGGACCATCTGAGGAACTGACCTAGGTATCTTAAGCAGGCGGTCTTTACAAAGAATATGACCCCTAAAAGGACAACAGGATGTATCTCGGCAGAGCTTTGGTACGGAAGACAGATCGGTTTTCCTGTGGAAGCCTTGGTACCTACCTGGAATAGGTTAGATGAGGATCAGCAAATGACCACTGAGGAGTTAATTGAGGCAAGATGTCAACAAATCCTTAAGAATGAGGAGGTAATGGAAGACATCGCCAACCAGGTACTAGACAGTAGAATAAGGGATAAAACACGGTGAGACCAGGTTAAGAATGTCAGAAAGGAGTCACTTCAAGTGGGAGAGATGGTACTGCTAAGGAACTCGACACTAGAAAGTACTTGGTCGGGACAGCTGGGAAAGAGGTTCGAAGGCCTCTACCGGGTCGCCAAGCGGGTGGGACTAAACACCTTCGAACTGGAAGATTTGGATAGAACTGGGTTGAAAGGGCCCTTCCCGGGGCAACGATTGGTCATGTTTCTAAGTCGGGACCCAGTGGAACTATGGCTTCAGGAGGCCGAAGATAAGGAAACTGAGGAGTCACAAGCTAAAGACTGACCACAGCCTTGCCCGCACTATGGTTTGTCTCTGACCATGTTCATGGGACTGTCGTTTTTTTTTGGGCGCTCTGGCTTGGACTGACTGAGGTTGAAAGGCAGCGTGATTGGAAGTTTGCAATATCTGGCTTGCATTACAACGGGAAGGGATGTCTGGGGCATTGTACCATAGTTTTTTACGGGAAAAAAATGGGGTTATCATAAACAACGCATTCGCATGTATAATAGGGGCATGCTGCGATGGAAGTTGGGAGCATTCTGGAAAAAAGGGGGGGAACTACCTACCAGACTGGGGGAATGGGTGTATGAGGGGCTTTGCGGGTGTTGTTTTGTTATAATGGGTCTAAAAGAAAAGAGAAGATGGAGTTCGGTGACGAAAATGACAGCGGGGCAATCAACAGGCCTACCGGAGGGAAGGGAGCAGGACCAAGCCAAGGGAGGAGAGCGGCAAAGAGAAAGTTGAATATAGGACTCATTGGTGGCCCAGTGGTAGGCAGGGGAGGAAGGAAATGCTTGTGTAGGAAACCCTCACCCCTCCGCGAAGAAGAAGGTATAGAAATCTCGTCTGACAGTGAGAGAGGGAAGGAAAAGGCAGAAGTGGAAGAAGGAGGCAATGCAGAAATGGGAAATAAGGTTCAGATCTCTAACGAGGGAGGGGTCAACAGGGGCAAGCGATATGAGGCTTGGCATGAGGAAAGCGAGGGGGGACAAGACATGCGCGACGAATATGAGGAAGGTGAGGAAAGAAGGGAGAACCCGTTTGAAGGACGAAGCGGACACGACAGTTGCGAGGGGTATGGGACGGGGACAGAGATTCCTTTTACCTACGATCCAAAGAACCTTGCGGGTGAATATAGCCCCATACAGACAGAAGACGAGGAGGACAAGGAGAAAGATGTGCGAGAAGTCATAGAAATCAGCAACGGGGATGAGAGGGATGAGATCTTGAGGCCTAGGGAAGAAGGGCTGCCTTCGATGCACCAGCCGGACGACGGGGCTTTCAGATGGGAGGACGAGTTTGGGCCAATGCCCAGTCATTGGTTTCAGCAATGGACCAATGTGATCAGACACGAATGGATTATCAAGACTCGGGAACTCGCAAGGGCAGGAGTGGAAGCCACACCGCTGGATTTTTTTGACGAGGCAGAGTTACGGAAAATTGTGAGGATGAGAAGAGAAATCGAGACCTACAGCCTGGGGATTAGAAGGTCTGCCAAGGAACAGGGTGGACAAGGAGCTGGGCAAGACGAGGCGCAAGGCAGCAATAGGAACTAAGTGTTGACTTAGCATTCAAAAGGATCGCTGTTTTTCTGTCTGCTAGGACATGAGAATGTCGAGAACATGTACAGTATGGGTAAGCTTGCTAAGGGTGAAGTGAAAAGAGGGTCAGTTAAGGCTGTGTCACGATAAGATAGAAGATAATTTTTTTTTTAGGCTACCTTTTTTTATGAGTTACCTTGGATACATAAGACAAAGACATAAGATTTGGGATGAGACCAATTGGGGGAGGGTGTATTGTGAACTCTCGATGGAATAAGGATTATGTTTTTTGAGAGGGGAAAACCTTGAGTACGGATTGACGAGCGAACCATGACATTGAATGATTGGTCGAGTACAAGAGAGGTTAGGGAACCTATGGGTTAAGGAGCGTGAAGAACACTTCTTCCCTAGGAGCCTAATCCAACTGAGTCATGAATGAGACTGAGAACAGTTGAAACCTGAGTGATCATGAAGAGTGAAAATGGAAAGGGCGCATTTGTCTTTTGTTATGGATGAATGGCCGGGTGAGCTAGTGCTTCTTGGGGACGCGAGTCCCAACTCGAGTGCTAGACGCTAAGTCGGATGTATGCATTGATAGTACATTACTGTGAGAAATGGAATGGATGGTACATTACTGTGAGAAATGGAAGAAAGAGAACAGCACGCAAAAGATGAGATGACCACCTTCTAACCTCCAAGACAGAAATGGGATCCGTAACCTCGAGGCCCACCCCCTCGGACACTAACATTGAGAATGAAAAGGAATGGCCCTAACCAGGCTGTTCGACTTGAGAATGGAAAGGAATGACCCTAACCAGGCTGTTCGACTTGAGAATGGAAAGGAATGACCCTAACCAGGCTGTTCGACTTGAGAATGGAAAAAAACGACCCTAACCAGGTTGTTCGGGAATGGCCCCTAACAAGGGTCATTCCTTTTGAAATAGGCACCGGGGTCCCCTGCAAATTTGATTGAGAAAGGTTGATTGAGGATGAGCTGGAATGAGCAATAGAAGATGGAAAAGGCCGATGAGTCGGTCATTGAAATAGCCAATGGGATGAATTAGAGAGATGGAAAAGGCCGGAGGGTC